TTATGTGATGTAAAACCCTGACCTCAACTAAAAATACCCTAAAAAAAAACCCTTAGAATTCACTCCATGCAATAATAAAAGTCAAATAACATACCTCAAGTAAATATGTTAGAGCGTATGGGAGAAAATTCCACAAAGTAACAGTGGGATAAAGATGAATGATGTAAGCTGGATCCCAGTCCTCCCCATGTGTGCAAATATAGCTTAATTCATCAGGCAGAGCAACTGTATTGACTATGAGAGGTAAAAAGTTGACTTCTGTTGATGGACACTGCAGCACACATCTGACTTCCTTGCTCCTATGAAGTTCTTCCTTCCAGGAAATGTAGGTGGTGGATTCTTTGTACTGATTCTCCAAGATACCAGCTGGCTGAATAAACAACTGACATCTACAGAAGAAGAAAACAGAAGGGGGGGAAGTTTTTATTGAGAACTTAAGAAAAAGAATCTCATTAAATCTTCTTGATAACTCTACAAGTTAGGTACTATTATTCCTATTTTTATAGGTGAGAAAAACAAGGTCAAGAAAGGTTAAGAAACATAGCTAACTCATGTAGGAACCTTCTGGGAAAAAAACACTCTGTAAAAAATGACCAAAAAAAAAAAAAGTCATTTCAAATACAAAGCAATTGAGTAAAAATGAGTCTCAAAAAATTCCAAAACATCAAATATACAACAAGAAATTTTCATTCTGGTAAACTCAGTAATAATATGAATGTATTCCTTTACGTCTTACAAATGGCTTTTTCAGATCTTCAGATAATTAAGAACATGAGATTATTTCTTCCTAGAATATGGACCCTTAAATTACAGAATTAAAATATATATATTATGACCCTTCTATAGCTTAGTACATTCAAGGAAGTACCCACCTATATGAATCTAAAGGGACGTGGAACTCCTCTTCAGGCCTGGCTACTCCAATGCGCTCCAACAGCTTGACATTCTTAACATACTTATAGATGATGAATGAAATAGAGAAATGGTTTTTAATCTGTTGGATAAAAAGACATACAAGTTGTTTTAAAAGATGTAGAAGTTCAGAAGAAAAA